CTACTCAGGCGTCGATATCATGACTCGCGCTCAGGCCGGTGTTGGCGTTCTGGTAGAACCCAACCTTGCCTATAGAATCACTGAATGGAAGCCTGTCAACGGAGGAGTGGCAATCCTCGTAACAAATCGCAAGACGTATTCGTTGTTAAGTTAATTTGGCTGCAAGTGAGACACTGCCAATCGTACAGAGAGCTGTAAACCTACGGATGAAAAATGGACGAGCCACAGAAATTTAGATGAAGCGTAGTACCTGAAAAGTAATGAAATGTGATACAACATGACGGACAGTGCTGTGCCCCACAAAGGTGGAAGATAAATTTTTTCATTTCTTCAGTGATGCCTTATCAATTCGTAAATGCCGGATAAGCCTCCAGGGAACAAGAGGCTGATGTCTCAAAATTTCTGGTTTTCCTACATCCGCCAGATTTGCTGCATATGACAACTTTGTGCTCTAAGCATAACATTTTTCAGAAGCTCGCTGTTTGGTTGCCTTTTAAGTATTTGCAGGTTTGTGCTGAGGTGAACATGACTTTTTGAATTCTGTAATTCGTCCTCTTATTAGTTGCATTCTTGGCAACGAAATCTTGTATTTAGTCGTACCTATATCGTTTGCCGTTATCGACTGTTTTATTTTTCTGATCTGACATTCGATTTTTTCGCAATCCAATTTGAGCACTAAATGTACGTTTCTTCATTTAAGTGAAACCGAAGTAATTTATGCATTTGCTCCTTTGCTCCTAACTTTCGGTAATGACTGATTCGTTAGCTTGCGCTGCCAAATCAACCTTCTGCGTAAAACACGTTATAAACCAAGACGCCTGAATGAGCAATGATAAAAAAAGTTCTGACCAAAGCATAAATCACGCGTTCCATAAAGTTTATTATGAAAAAATGGAATTTCAAAATTACTCAAACTTTGTTTCCAGGAAAAGCACGAAGTGGGACTAAACTAACTGCGAGAACAAAATTTACAAGGTTCAACATTTTGTATACTGTGCAATGGCAAGTTCTGAAAATCCGTCGTCAGGTCAACAGTGTCGAAAACGGTTACTGAATCATAAAACACAATAATCCCATACATGCTGAAAAAAATCAGCACGAAGGCACGGAAAACAGAAATGACAAGAATGTACTGGCAAGAAATGAAACCGCTCAAAACATATTTAAAAAATATCAGAAATGCAATAACAAAAAACATAAGGGAAAGCAAAAGCGACCGTTTCTTCGACGGTGCTATACAATGAGACCTGAAATGAAACGCTAGTCAAAATTCTGGATAGAAATAAAAACAAAACTAAGAACAATTTCAAAACTGATGCAAGTTAAAGTTCCTTCTGAAAAGATTTTAGCTACGTCGAAATATCAAAGAGTACATGGACAACGAGAAAAAAATAGTGACATGAACAGAAATTATATGCCCTCATTAATCGAATGAAGTGTCGGGAGTCAGGCTTCATCGCCGCTTATTGAAAGAGCAGGCTAAGATCAGCTGAAAATTAACGATTATATCCGTATTTATGTGAAAAATGATTTATGACCACAAAAAAAGGTCTAGAATTGGACTCAATCACTGAAAACAACTGGAACTGGATGACGCAGACAAGGAGATCCAGTAAGCCTATAAGCAAAAGACTGGAAGTAGGTGCAACCTGCAGAAAAGTTAGCAAGTTCAACGGGCTTTAACAAGGCTTGGGGGTGTCCACCAGCCACACGAACAATCACAATGCAGTAAGACCAGAAGATAAACGCGGGTAGGTAGTTAAGAAGGAACAACGGAAAGAGAATGGTAGAAAAGGATCACTGAGCGCTGATGCAAGATCATCTCAGCATCATCGGCGTGGTACGCGTTTCATGTTGGAGGGTCTGTCAAGTATTTAAATACTGTTTATATACGGTCATAATGAGAACGTGAGACACTCAACCTATCCATTGTATTTCGGATGCAGTACACCGGTAGGAAATCTTGCAGCGGTGAGAAATTTGACAACATAAAGAAAAATACCTACCATTTTACTTTGTTCAGCTAAGCGTAGTACTGACAGTGGCGGCGGCATACTGTTGCGGATGCTGGTAGGGTTTTGCCTCGTACTTCGACCTCTTCAACTGTACTTTCAGTCTTTTGGTGCCGATCTGGAAGCCGTTCATCGCCCTAATCGCTGCTTGTGCCGATAACGGGTTGTCGAAGGAAACGAATCCTACATCATAGAGAAAACCGCTGTAAGTAGGCATCGAATTAAACCATTCGTAAACGAAAAACTTAGTTTTCTAAAAGCTAAAGAAGGTAAAACCCTGAGGTTCTGGGGCAGCTTTCGATACCGCCATTAAATATACATTAAAAATAACAATACCGGACTGACACGGCGAAATGCAGTGTAAAGAAAGAAAAATGCACTTCTTACTCTTATACAACAACTGCATTATTTATTGCACCGCCCCTTACGTCTACCGTCTTAGGAGACCATTTATGCAGTGCAAGATAACACTTCATTTTAAAGAAGCGACTTTAATTAGGTGTAATGATATCGGCTGATGTGTGGCCTGTTATGAAAGTGTATAACATCTGGACAATACGATCAACTCCGTCTCCTAGTAGCTGAAAAGCTGAAAGTTGCGGCAAAGATCTTTTGATTCAAAACAGCTGCCTGTCACCTTCAGCCAGAAGACATAATGAAACGTCTTGAGAAATATTAAAACAACTTCACGCGGTAAGCCAATCAGATAATGCTTTTTAATGAGATCCAGTGCTTTCTTGCTGCATCCCTATGGCTTGAATGATGTCAATTCTATAGAAATTCATTCTGTATCGTTCAAGTTTTCTTTCCGGCCATGCACACTGAGTACAATTATTTGCCTTTGATATTCATCTTCATGCTCCATCGCCGCCACTCCGTTCGGGTCGCGAAGGCAGACGCGTCAGACAGCTTCCAGCCTTTGATATTCAAAACACTTAATATAACCGCTAAATACTCAGCTAACAAATCTCAACCCGATAGTTGCGCATCGTCCGACTGCACTGAATATTTGTATAATAATTTTTTATTGTTCTCAAATACTGCGGTTTTTGCTCATTTTGTTTAACAATAAATCGTGGTAAATTCTGCTGAAAAAATGTGCTGACAAATGAATTAATTAATACAACTTGATAAAATCTGAGAATAATCCTACCTCGACGTGATCAAGGAAAGCTGAATAAGATCAAATACGGGACTGGGCAAGGTACAAAGCTGTATACTTTTGAGTTACCACCAAAACCGCGAATACTTATCAACTAAACGGTACGAAAACAACGCTCCAGCAACCGGGTTGATAAAGTCCTTTACACTCTAAGGCTGGCCAGCCTACAACAAATTCTGACAGAAAAAATGAAAGAAAGGGGAAGGCGCAGATCCAAAGCAAAGCATGGTGAATATAATCAATATTTCGACTACATGCCGTACAGAGCAGATCAATTGAATACATGAACGTTAGAGAACATGCATGGTATTATCAGAAAATGAACAAAAATGACGGATTTAAATGGTCAGTGATTGTGAAGTTAAGAATTCAGGATCCATCCGTAACGTCATTTACTCAAAACAGTCACTCCTATTTAACATTACTCACGTAAAATATTAAATGTTCAATTCAGCGTTTTCTTCAATAGCTAAGAATTTGAATGCACATCTTGTTTCAACACTTATTTTCTAGTTTTTAAGCCCTCCGCTGATAGAAAATAACAATGAATTGTTCAAAGGAATCATATTTCAGCCTTTTGATGGGCATAATTTGCAACAGTCCAAATACGTTCGAAGTATTTAATATTGTGATCAGACCTGCCAAGCAGTCGTTCGGTAAAGAAAATTCGGTTAATTCGAAATTTCATTTAAAATTAAGAAATTTAATACAAAAGAAAGAGAATGATAATTCAAATGATGAAACTCCATAAATTAAAGAACCAGAGCACTGCTGCTCACAATACCGCATACATGGTGATAAATAATTCAAAACAAAATTTAGGGTAAACTAAGTTCATGAAATACATTCTGTTTATCCATCAACCGACTACTTTAAAGAAACCGCGGTTTATTAGGAAAACCATAACCGATTTATATCATTATATAATCGCCAATTTTGAACCACATATCTTCCAGAAATAAGTATCAAAGATACTATACATATCTGTGATTAT